CTTCTGAAGATCCTCCTGTGGCTTGCTACTTTTCCTGACCCCGTCTTACCCTCAACTCAGGCCCTAAGAGAACTGGCTGGGCCCGGGCCTGTCGTGTGGGTCCAGCACACTGACCAACCTGGCCACACCACCAGCACCGTTCACCCTGCCCCCAGCTCCATGAGCCTTTACCCGCTCCTGAGAGATGTTTCACATCTGTCCTGTACTCTGCTCTCATGACGGCGCCCAGCCTGGCTGACACAGGCAGCAATGACTGAACACTAGATGGAGAAAAACTGAAATACTCCATCGTATGTCACACTATTGTGCCGCAAGGCCACACCATTTAGTGACATGTGGCCAACTGTTGAAACTGAGCGTACCACGCAGTGAGACCGACACTCAAGCGCAGGTCTTAGGCACATGGTCCCACACCGCACAGTTTCAGGTATCATTTCCATGCTTCAGGGTCTGGTTTTCAAAACTGTACACTGGCACATTGTTATTCATTTACTTACTTTGATTCCTTGAAACAGGATCTTACTATGTAGCACAGGCTGGCTTCTAGCTCATTCTGTAGCCCAGCCTGGCTTTGGACTCTAGGACCCTCCTGGGTCAGCCTCCTGCGCACTCGGGTCACAGGCGTGCGCCGTCATGCCTGGCAGAAATGCTTTGGTCATGGAGATTAATTTTGCAGTCAGACCGTTTGGGCTTGAAGCCCTGCTCTGCCCTGCACAGGCTGCGCGAGTGGAGCTAGGCGACTTAGCCACTCCGAACCTGCTTCCTTGTCTGTAACATCCAGGGGCACCTGGTGCTGAGCACACAGCAGACTGTGACAGTTACAGGTAACACCCACAGAAACCACACACACTAGAAACGCCTGTCGCAAGGGTTCATCTCCTTTGCTAACTAATCTCACAGGACACTGACCACTGTAGAAAGTGGGCTGAGCCCTCAAGTGGCCTACTGCTGCCACTGACCACGTGCCACTCTGTAGGCCACATGGGAGCAGCAAGGACTACAAATCAGGGACCCATGCACAGGGCCAGTCCTCCCTGCAAGCGGGGGAGACCCCAAGCAAACAAGCCATAACTTCCTGGTGGGCCAAATGGGGGTGCAGGACGGGCCCCCCAAAGGCTAACACAAAAGTCAGAGTGCTACACAGCCACTCCACAGCTCCTTCCCCCCTCGTGCTGCTGCACTGGGCAATGCGTAGAGGAGCAAGGTGCGGAGTGGAAGGAGCCCACTGCTGTGGCATCAGAGCGAAGTTAGAGGCGCAGTGTGCACACCCAGGGGGGCGTGTGCACAGCCCCCAGTCCTAGAGCTGTCCTGCACGTGCACCTCCTCCTCTGCACAGGTAAAGTCACAGCCCCTACTCCCGGCCCTAGAAGACTTACAAACACCCGCAGAAAGCTCAGGACAGTGCTGGGCCCAGTAAGCACGGCGGAAGTGGGACTGTTCATTGCTGTCCTGCATCACCCTCCTCTGCTCCTTGGGATAAAAGTGGCCAAGAGCCCGGGGCTGCCCACTCCCCAGCGCTCACCCTGCTCCTCTCTCCAGTAACTAGAGTGATGCTTCAGGATCACAAGTGCCGCGTGGTGCACCGAAACGTCCCTCTGGCTCTCCAGTGTCACCAGGATGAAAGCCAGGCTGAGCTCTGCTTGACGCCTGCAACCTGAAGACAGTGTCCTCTCCTTTCCATTCAGGAATTCTGACCTCGGCAGTGACAGCACCACCACCTCTGGGCCCTGGCTAATTCTGCTTGCTCTGTTCGGAAGGCTCTGCCTGGCTGGCTTCGCTGCAGCTTGAATTTCCTTGAGGAAGCTTTCCCTGACCCCAGTCTGGGGCAGGCCCTGTCTGCATGGCTACCAGCTCTCCCTTCTCCACGGAGTCTCTCCAGGAGGCAGGCTGCTGCTCAGTGTGTGTCTGGTGTGCAGCAGGTTCTCCACAGAAGGGCTTCGAGACCAGCCTCTGCCTCCATACTGCCCGTTGTGCACTACAACCCATCACTCAGGAGAGGCGTGACCTGGGAAGGGGCTCCACAGAGGGCAGCGCCGCCAACGGACAGCACAGCGCACAGTGCAGGCAGCTTAGGAGTCTCTCACACGGCTCTTCCACTGTGAGCGAGCCCTCACCAGCTCAGCTGGAGCACCAAGGGCCCCACTCTGGAAGTGCGTGAGCAAATCCTCACAGAGCCTCACCTGCCTTACTGCCACTCCCCCAGTGAGCTGTGCAGCCCGGGGCAGGGCACACGCTCCAAGGACACAGTTACCTGGCTCTCACCTTTAGGTCTACAAGGTCTGCATCTGAGAAATCATGAAAACAACGGGACCTCAGACAACTGTCACACTGAATGGGACGGGCCACAAAGAAGGTTTGCTTGCTCTGTCTAAACACAGTTAGCAGAGTATCAGGGCTCAAGGGGAATGGCATTCCTGGTGGTCACCATCATTCTGGGTTACACATGCACTCTTCTAACTCGGTGCAACACGCCAGTCCTTCTTTTGCTCACATGGAATGCAAAAACCCCACTTCCCTTACAGCTAAGAACAGTAAGAGTGGAGCGGCACTGGCTACTGACTGACTCGAATGTTGCTCAGTGATTAACCTTCCAATTGTTCAAGAGGAAAGAGGAAGGAGGGTGAATGAAAGGGGAAAGAATGAGGGGAAAGGGAAAAACAAGACTACTAGTTTCCCTAAGTTCGCTAAAAAGAAAGGCTTGCACTGATATTGCCTGGAGAATTTTTATACCCATATCTTGTACTCCGAGTTAACTACTTTGAAGACAACAATATATATTAACTATTGTTCTTCTATTGTTTGAAACTGTGTTTTCTTCTTTCTGTAAAATAAAAAATGATTAGTGTTCTACAAAGTATATTAAACTTAAAATAAATAAACTGTATTAGGTATATTCCCCAACCATAAATGAATCAAACTAGAAATCAGTAGTGGAAAGGTAATAGAAAAAAAAAAAAATCAATGAATAAATGCAAACTAAAGAAAATACTTCAAATAACCATTAGTCAAACAGAAAGTCACAAGAGAAATGAAATGCACTGAAACTGAACGAAAAAAGATAATGCAAAACTTTCTGGGCGTGCTTGCTTCATCAGTACATACACTAAAAAACTTGTACGATGGCACAAAAGCAGGGAAGGTTGTAGCGCTACGTGCTTATAGTAAAGAGGAAAAGTTTCAAAGTAGTAACCTAATTTTATAACTTAAGGGCAAATTATACCCATATCAAGCAGAAGGAAAAAGATAATAGTACAGAAATAATTTTTTAAAAAACTCCAAGGAAAAACAATGAGACAAAAAACTGGTTCTTTGAAAAGATCAATACAGTTGGCAAATCTTATGCAAGACTGTGTTTAGTCCCAGGACATAATGAAGGCTAATCAATATTAGAAAACTACATGTGATACATGACCTTACCCGGAGAAAAAGGAGAAGCCACATGACCACGTCAGTGGGTGCTGCACAACGACGGGGACGGGGACGACGTTCTCCCACTCATGACAAAAGAAGGGAGGAAGGAGGAGGCAGGAGGAACAGGAGGGAAAAGGAAAGGAAGGTCGGCAAGACCAGGGGAAGGCCAGACGGAAAAGACGACTAGCAGAGAACTTCCTCCGTGTGGTATCTACAAGGGTACCTGGCCTTAGGACACAGTGGCACAGCACTTGCCTGGCAAGCCCAAGGTCCTGGGTTTGATTCCCAATACTAAAGGAAAAACAAAAACGTATAGCTGGCATACTTTATGGCAGAAAAATGCTTTTTCTTCTAAGATCCAACAACAAAACAAGAACATCTGCTCTTAATACAGTTAATACAGCTATATATAATAGCTGAAGTTCTAGCTGGAGAGAAAAAGTGGAAAAAAAAAAGTAAAAGCCAAGTGTGGTAGCACATGCCTGTGAGCATCTGGAAGGCTGAGGCAGGAGGGCTGCCATGAGTTCAAGGCCGGCCTTCCTAGTGAGGCCTCATCTCAAACAAAAACAGCCCGCCAGCCAAATGCACAGCCAGCCAGGGACAAACAGAAAGAAATCAAAAGATTACATCCTGAGGGAAGAAATTAGCTTCTCTCTTTTTGCAAGTGACATTGCGGTCTAGTCAGGGAGTCCCTAAGGAATCTAAAAACTTCTCCTGGTGCTTGAGCACACCAAGCTGACAGGACACGCAGTGTCTTAGCCCAACATGTGGCGCAAGCCTGGACTGCAGCCGCTTGGGAGGCCGAGGACCACGGGAGCCGTGGCGGCTAGGCCAGCCTGGGCGGGCAGCAGAGACTTCGGCATGTCCCCTGTAGGCCAGCAAGGAACCAGGAGAGGAGAGGTTAGCTGGCAGCCGTCACCCGACACAGCACCTAGAGGTTTCTGCTTTCTGCTGCAGCGAAGCCTAATGCAGTGGCCCCACCTGGGATGAACGTGTGAACAAGAGAGCTGCAGCCTTCACAAGTACCGGGCACGGCATCAAGAAAGGTAACTAGCTCCCATTAGAGCGGTCTCTAAGCACTCCCACTAGGAACATGCCCCAAAGCTCAGGGACAAGCCAACAGAACGCCTCCAGTGGCTCAAGTTCCGGAGCGGGAAGGAAGCTCTTCAGCTTCCTCCTTAACAGTCACAGCAAGAGACAAGGTGCATGCAGTGGTACACGCGCCTGCAGAACACGCCTTCGGAGCCGCCAGGGTACAGCAGCTGGTCCGCCCAGCACACACGTGCCTTTTAGCAGGACTCTGGTGACTTACATGCACGCCTGAAAAAGCATTAAAAACAGAGCACCGGCGGCTGGAAGGCGTGCTCAGCCGCACCAGACATGAAAGCGGCGGTGAGGATGGTGACTCGCAGCCAGAGCCGAGCAACTGGCTTTGGGTCGCTGGGAAATGGGGAAGAACCCCCGCCGCCTGGGAACCGAGAGGTGGCTGCAGAAGAAAGAAAAAAACACAGGCCTGTGAAACGACAGCGGAAGGTGCAGAAACTGCACGTGGCCTATGAGGCCTCAGATGGTGAGAAAAACGAGGGGACTGACCCCCTTGAGGTGACAGTTTGGGAGCCACGGGACTGGAAGCAGGAGCTAGCCAATATCCGCACCATGAGAAGCAGGAAGGATGCACCTGTGGACCAACTAGGGGCTGAGCACTGCTATGACTCCAGTGCCCCACCCAAGGTACGAAGATACCAGGTGCTGCTAGCTCTGATGCTTTCCAGCCAGACCAAAGACCAGGTGACAGCAGGCGCCATGCAGCGACTTCGGGCCCGGGGTCTGACAGTAGACAGCATCCTGCAGACAGATGACAACACGCTAGGCAAGCTCATCTACCCTGTGGGATTCTGGAGGACCAAAGTAAAGTTCATCAAGCAGACGAGTGCCATTCTGCAGCAGCACTACAATGGGGACATCCCAGCCTCTCTGTCAGAGCTGGTGGCACTGCCAGGCGTCGGGCCCAAGATGGCACACTTAGCTATGGCTGTGGCCTGGGGTATTGTGTCAGGCATAGCAGTGGACACACACGTGCACAGAATTGCTAATCGACTGAGGTGGACCAAGAGAATGACCAGATCCCCTGAGGAGACCCGCATTGCCCTAGAAGAGTGGCTGCCCAGGGAGCTATGGAGTGAGGTCAACGGGCTATTGGTGGGCTTTGGCCAGCAGATCTGCCTGCCCGTCCATCCTCGCTGCCAGACTTGCCTCAACAAGACCCTTTGTCCTTCTGCCCAGAGCTTCTAAGGGCCATGAGGCTTCAGCTTGGGTCCTGTTGTTGCTGTTACCTATGAAGTGCCTTTGGGGAGGGGGTCACAACCTGTGTAATAAAGCTTGGGGATTGTTTGTAACTAATGTCTGACTATCTACAGGATCTGAGGGCAGCCAGGAAGCATGTGTGTATACTGCTCATGGGTGTTAGGCTGGGTTTCCTGGGAGAATATGACAGCCCATGCTGTGTACTCACAGAGAAAAGAAATAGTGACAGCCAGCTGCTAGGAAGCCTACAGTAAGTCTCTGACTTACAAACATCCGAGTTGTGAACTTTCAGATAGGAAGGGACCTCACATTGTGAACATTCATAGGTGGGAACAAATCATGGAAATAGTTCACATGCCTACATTTGTACTTACTGTACATGTGTTAAGGTAACTGTAAAAGTAAAAATAGTTTACAGTAAAAAAAAAAAAAAAAAAAAAAAAAAAAAAAAAAAAAAAAAACAGAGCACCTTTAAAATCAGTGTTACCAACTTGGAGAAACTATCTGTTACCACAACAGTCTACACTTTTTCCAATGTATCCATCTATCAAACACATTTAGAGTATCTACTGTGTTCCAAAGTAAACCAGCTTTGCATTCTGGGATAAGTCCCACTAAGTTACGGCACATAACCTTTCTATATGTTGTTGGATTTGGCTTGTCAGCATTCTGTTAAAGATTTGTGTTTCTGTGCTCGAGTGTGACCATCAGTCCCAACACAGCACCTATGGTGGATTACAAATATCTAGATCAGTCAACAGCAAGTCCAGGAGGCCAGGGAGATAGCTCAGCGGAGTAAGTGCTTGCCTGGCAAGCACAAGGTCCTCAGTTAGATTCCCAAGAAGTATCACAAGAGGAGAGGGGAGGGAAGGAGAGGGGAGGGGAGGGGAGAGGGGAGAGGAGAGAGGAGAGAGGGGAGAGAGGGGAGAAGAGGGGAGAAGGGGGAGAGAAGAACAGAGGAGGAGGAGGAGGAGGAAGAGGAGGAGGAGGAGGGGAGAGGAGAGAAGGGGAGGGGAGGGGGGGGGTGGGGGGGACCGGCTAAATAGTTCAGTGGATTAAAGCGCCTGCAAGCAGGCACAAGGGTCAAGGGTTCAGTCCCCAGGGCTGCTGTACCAGCCCCACCCCTGGGGCGTGCTGAGATGGCAAATGAGACTGGACATGGAGGTATGTGCCTGTAACCCCAGCTCTTGGGAGGCTGTAAACAGATAGATCACTATGAGTCTGATCTAGTAGTGTGACCCTGAACATCCTGTAGACTCTTCCCTAAAAAATATTAAAAAAAAAAAAAACCCAAAACCCAAAATCTTACAAAAATGTATTTAAAAACACACGTCCAGGTGGTCTGTGACGGCACTGCCGTGGCACGTGCAGATGGGAACGGAGGTCTCTCGCCCCTTCCTCTCTAGCCGCACTGCTTCTGGGCCACAGTGTTTCTGTCTTGAAACCAGTAGGCTGCAGACTGAATCCTGGAAACCACAAGCAAATTAACCTCTCTTTTCTTGCGTGATGAGTCAGGTCCTGTGCCTCATGATGGAAAAGTGGACCACTACAGAAGAGACGCTGGCCCCTGGTACAGTGTCTGCACTGTCTTCACCTAGTTCTTACATCAAGATGACTGGATTTGAGGAATCAGGTAAAGTGTTCTTTCCTTTTCTATTTTTCAGAAAACTTCACAGAGGATCGGTTAGTACCAAACCTTTATGTATTTCTAAGAATTTACAGGCAAAGCCATTTAAACCTGGGGCCTTCCTAATGAGAGGTTTTAAAGTCCCTAATTGAAATTACTGATTACAGCTCTGGATTCGTTTTATCTAGGTCATCCAGTGTGTTAGTAAAAAGGGTGCTCACAGAATTCCAAGATAATCCTTACTTCTGCAAGGTCAGGAGTGATGTGACCTCTGATTTATTTATTTATGTATTTGAGACCGCCTTGTTATATAGTACAGGCCACCTCAAACTTGTGGTGGTCCTCCTGAGTGTGCCAGCAGGCCAGACTGTTTCTCATTTTCTTCATGTGTGTGACATGTCATGTCCCACTGAAGGTTTGCCTCTTTTACTGGTATTGTCCATTCAAGTAAAATTTTTGGTTTGATTTTTTGTTTTCCTATTCTTTGGTCATTTGGATAGACAGACAGATGTAATAACATTCTGTATATACAAAACATTCTTTTTTCTGTTTGTCTTTGGTTTAGCTTACTTCTCTATAGTTCCTTCAAATGAAATGTCATGTTTATTATTTTTTTTTTTATTTTTTGCAGTATTGGGGACTGAATTCAGGGTCTTGTGCTTGACAGGCAGGTGCTTATTCTACTGAGCTATCTCCCTGGCCCTGAAATGTCATGTTATTGATCTGACTTCTTTCTCTTCAATACAATGGTCTTTAGCTACACATTTTCCCTTCAGCTACCACTACTTTAGCAATGCTCTGATTTTGGCTTGATGTGTTCCACTTTTATTAATCTCAGAACATTTTCCAATCTCTTCTCTGCTCATCACTTATTTATGAGTATGCTGTTTCCACATATTTGTGAACATTACAACTTATGTTTTTCTTTTTAATATTACTACTCTGTGATTACAAAATACACCCTGTGCTGATGATTCTACTCCTTCTGTCTGTATTGAGGCTTCACCACAGTTGGTATGCATATAGCAATGGTTTTGCCACTGTTGGTTATGTCCAGGTAGGTGTTATTCAAGCCCTCTCTACTCGTGTTGGTCTACCCCATTACCGTACCAATTCTGTACAACAGGGTGTAAAGTCTGTAACGCTGACTGCTTAATTGCCCATTTGTCTTTGTGCTCTTGGCCCTCAGTATATTAGGGCTCTGCTGGAAGACGCAAACACCTTGAAGACAGTTAGCTCCTGCCGTGGGAAGTGGTTCCCCCTACAGTGCGGGCACTAGGAAGGCCGAGACGGGCGGAGGACCAAGCCCAGCAGGGCCGGATCAGCCTGGACAGCACGGCAAGACCCCATCTCAAAGAACAGTGTACAAAAAACGTCTCTTCTTTCTCCTGGATGAACTAAAACACTCAGGATTTCAAAACCTTTTATTATAAAGTCTATTTTGTTACTAGTATAGCTGTTTACCTCTTTTTTGACTACTGGTTGCACTGTATAAGTTTTTTAACAGAGGTATGAGACAAGGCCTCCTTTTTTCTTTCTTGGCACCAGGGATCGGATTCAGGATCTTGCACTTTTCCAGCAGGTGCTGATGCCGCTCAGCTGTCTCCCCAGTCCCTAGCACACCATTTTAGCTCATTTTTTCTCCCCTTATTTATTAAATTATGTTTTTGGTAGCTGTTCTGCAGGATACAATTAACACTTTAATCTCAAATAACCTAGTCTGAATTAAGAACAAGCTAATTTGTTTAAGACCTAAAACTACAAAACTATCAGGGAAAAAAAAAAAAAAAAAAGAAAGAAACACTTCCAGATATTAGTATAGCAGTACCTTGTTTCACAAACTTAACTTTTTTCTCAATTCTGGTCACAAACTGAACTGGGTAAGAACTGAATCAAGTTCAGCGGTTAGGTTCAATGTGGGCCTCGTGGGGAAACTTGGTCAGGTCTTGTCCAGTTTGGTTTGTGACCAGAATCGGAAAAAAAATTAAATCTGTGAACCAAGGTACTACTGTACAGTGAATACCGATTTGGGCAAGAACCTCAAAAGCACAGGAATCAAGAGTTAAAACAGATACACGAGACTATAGCAAACCAAGCAGCTTTCTGCACAGAGCAGAAAACAGCAGGGTGAGGAGACAGAGAAAGGGGAACTGCTCTTGGGCTGCTGCAGGACTGAGAATCATGGCAGTAATTACGAAAAGCTGGCGCGGAAGTCCCTCAGGCAGTGAAAAGGAAGGACCACAGGCCCCGCTAGCTCACTGGCGGGCCTGACAGCAAGGAAACAGCCAGCGCGCCAAGGGACGCCTGCACACAGCCAGGACAGAGATCACGGCACCGCGTGCTTCAGCCACACGGACGCCACTGCAGGGTGTCCTTTTGCTGCTGGGAACCGAATCCAGGGTCTTCCACTGAACTGCACCTCAGCCCAATCTGTTCTTCAATCTCTCCACCTGATCACTGCAGTCTGTGGGACATGGTACCACTTCTCAGGAAAGGTGGCTGGGGAAGCGCCACCTCATTCTTCCATCCCTCCCTCCCTCCCTGCCTTCCTTCTCCCTGCGAAGCCTGGTCTCCTCCCACTCGCAAAAGATCTAGCTCCCTATTCCCTATGATCTTTCATTTCGCTCTTCACTTTTTAGGCTTCTCATATTAGGGAAAACAGCTTGCGCTCTGAATTCTGTCACTTAACATGGTCTCAAGGCGCACCCATCTGCCCACAGCTCGCTCGTGCTCACCTCCATGCACAGCGACGCTCCCTTACGCATGAACGCTGCGGTCCACCCTTGAGCCCTCTTTCTGCTGACGAGCACACCCAGGATTCAGCTATCGGAGTCGTGCTGCGAGAGACACGGGTGAGTGGACATCGTGGTATACCCAGTCTGTGACGCGTTCAGGAATGGATTTCTAGCTTTAGTTTTTGACAAATCTCCATGCTGATCTCCACAATGGTTGTACTACTTTACAGTCCTACCAATAATGTAGAAGGATTCATTTTCCTCCAAAGCCTTGCTACCATCTGTTAAAGTTTTGGTAATTCTGTCTCACCATTTTTGAGGTGGTGAGACAGAATCTCAGTGCTGTTTTAATCTGTGTTTTTGTAATGACCAGAGATGCTGAACATTTCCTCATGTGTTTACTGGCCATTTGTACCTCCCAGAAGCCTCTATTCATCTCACTTCACATTCTTTTCTGGCTGGGACTTTAAATCTGGGGGCATCTAAGTGTCCTCGTAGATGTCAGCCTCCTGGCGAGGAATCGCAGCCACTTCCCCCAGTCCACAGGTTGTCTCATTCTGTCAGTTGTTTCCCCTCCTGTGTTGAAGCTTTTTTACTTGGCACAGTTCCGTTCGTTGCTTCCTGGTACTATTTCTTGTACAGCTGAGGTTCTGTTCAGAAAGTCCTTGCCGGGCTGGGGAGATAGCTCAACGGCATAAGTGCCTGCCTGGCAAACACAAAATCCTGAGTTCAATCCCCAGTACAAAAAAAAAAAGAGAGAGAAAGCCCTCGCCTCCACCTGTCTCCAGGAACGTCATCCGTCTCGCAGCAGATCACAGTGTTTCTGTTTCAACATTCAAGCCTTTAGCTCAGTGTACAGTGAGAGACACGAACGTAGATGCGGTCTTCTGCACCAGTGCAGCCAGCTTTCCCGGCACCATTCTGAGGCCGTCTTTCCTCCAGTGAATGCTTTTGGTCCCTGTGTCAAAGACTAGATAGCTGAGTGTGCTGGTGCTATTCTACATCCTCGATTCTGT